GGTGAGGAAGGGGGGGTAACTACTTCCCAAACCTTGCCTCAAACCTGCACCACAATGGCATAAAATCGCTACCAAAATTCATGAGGCAGCTCCTTCATCCTGAAAATAAAGCATTTAGGGCTGAAAGACCTTATTTATGGGACTCCCTGCTGTGCCCACCAAGGACTAGAGTGGCAGAGAAGCTAATAATGCTGCTGCCTGGCATCAAGGCACCCCTCGGAGCAGGAAGAGAGCGCTGAATCCCAAATTAAATGAATCTGCTTGAAAACAGAGAAGGATTCTCCCTCCTAGGGCAAACATTTCCATTTCAGCCAAACGTTTCTGCCTACTGGTCTCAGTCAGACCCACACCACGTGCCGGCCGTTCCTGACCAGTGTGGACTAGGGGAGGGTGTCACTGCTGCCCTGTTACACCAGAGACAGCCTGTCCCCAGGCCTCACATCCCATGGCAAGAACATTCCGGCCCGTCTGCCACGGCTCCGTGCAGCTCTGCATACGCTTGGGCTTCGCAGTGGCCTGTGAAAGGGGCTGGAAATGAGGCTAACATTTCCCATCAAAGCAAAGATCAATTTAAAGATAATGAACCCCTCAAACCTCTCCGGTCACACCTATCTGTTGCTATCACGGTAGAATAATTAAACCTAAAGTCTAACAAAAGCAGAGAGCTGGCTCAGGGGACTGGAAATAATGAGATATTGAGTATTTCATGTCTCGGTGATGGGGTCAGTTCACACAGCCAAGTTTGCTACTTAAAGAAAATCATTACTATCTGATGGCTGCTGATGGGCAGGTGAGCTCATCTAAACCTGCGCTGACGCCTCCTGCGAGCTGTCTTTCCAGAAGAGCCGCCAGGCTCATTCCTGTGGCATACGAGCCCCTTGTGAAGCCAGGACCGATTGGGCTGTGGAGTGTGATCAGGAGTGGGGCTCAGTGGCAGGTTTCATAGAATCACAGAATCATAGAATGGTTTGGGTGGGAAGGGACCCCCAGAGGTCACCCAGCCCAACCCCCCTGCAGGAGCAGGGACACCGCTAACCACATCAGGT